CTTCTTTAATTTTTCTTTAATTCTTCAATTATTATTATTAGTGTATTGTGTATATATGTTTATATATATTTCTCTTTAATTTACTCATTGATTGTTGTTGTTGTTAAGCACTTTGATAACAGGTTCTGTTTTAAATGTGCTCTATAAATAAAGTTGACTTGACTTTTAGCTAGTGTTTTACTCATTTTAGCATTTAACCTGTGTTTTGCTTGTTTTAGCATTTAGCTAGTCTTCTGTTTTAGCTTTAAGAGCTCAGCTTCAGCTACGTCTAGCAGTCATTCAGCGCTGGGTATTCAAACCGTATTTTGGCAAACTTTTAACTTCTTTATTATTTCACTGCGTTTGGGTTGTTGGTTCAAATCTGACGGATTTGTGGGATGACACAATGTTCCTTTTTGTCTCCAGAGGTTCTGAAAAACTGGACAAAATTAACGCTCGTGGAGGAATGGCTCTTTCTCACCACCGTTCCTTCAGCTTACGTTGAGCGATGATGGAGGAAAATAAAATCTGTCAACTCGTGGTGGTGTTTGGAAACAGCTGAAAGTGTTTCCAGCTCCTCCAGTCTTCTCCTCAGAGCTCGGAGTCCTCAAAACTCCTCAGACGTCAAAAACATTGACCAAGTTTCTGTTTTTATCTCGGTTCTCGTCTGATTCTCACTAAAAATCTAAAACACGAGGAAGAGAAGTGTTTTAATTTAGAGAGGAAGGAAATGAAAATAAAACATCTGAAGCTCTGAAGACCATGAGGAAGAGGAGGAGGTGTCTCTGATGTTTCTGATTTATTCCTGTGACCCGCCGCCCCTCGCCGCCCATTAGCATAGAGACCACTTTCCCTGGCAGCTGATTGGACCGGTACCGGTGCAGAGAGGAGGAGGTGTTCCGAGGTTACACACCATCAGTCAGCATCAACGCAGGTGATCCTTCTGCTTCCTGTTTGTTCCTTAGCAGACTCCGCCCCCGCTGACCTCCGCTCTGAAAACCAACACAGACTCATAATTTCTGCTCAACAGATGAAGCAAGAACCGAGTCCTTCGTCCTTCGTCCTGAAGTCTTCCTCACATCGAGTCAAACCTGACGTTGAGCCGAAGTCTTTTCTACACTTCTTTTTCTGCCCAGAGGAAAGATTGTTCTCCTTTTCGATCAATAAAGTCCAAAAATAACGGAGTTTAAAGTAGAAAGATGAGGCTGTGTCCGTTGAAACCAAACGTTTAGTACAGAGGAGATATTTTACTGACACTGAGTGAGACTCATCGTCCGACCCGTTTATCATCAGTAAGTTTTTATGATTTATGTAAAGTCCTGTTGGAGTTTTGTTTTGAAAGTCTCGGCCTTGTTTTGCGTTGATCCATAGGTTTTTGTCTCTAAAGGCTCTTTGGTCCCAAACGTGTCATAGCTGGTGTCTTGGAGTGGTTCTGATGCCAGATCTGGTTCAGAAGAGGTTCCGTTGGTCCATTTGTGTGTTTGTGGTTGTTCTGAAGAAAAGCACTAAAGAACATACAGAAAACCTTTTCTCCACTCAGAGATAAAAGCTGAAATAAAGAACTGGTCTATGTATGTCTATAAACCACTCTGCAAACTGGTTTGTTGGCTTCTTCTTGATATTTTGTTTGTTTGTTTGTTTTTTATAGTGGGGGCAGAGAACAAGCTGGGCTGGGCCTTTGGTTTGGGTCTAGAGAGACTAGCCATGGTTCTGTACAGCATCCCAGACATCCGGCTGTTCTGGAGCCAAGACGAACGTTTCCTCAAACAATTCAGAGTTCAGGACCTCCAGAAACCCATCTGCTTCCAGGTACAAACACTAACACCATCCAGGTAC